GAACAGGTGCTTAAAATTACACAGCATATTCATGGTGTGGTCTTACCAATGATTTAAAAAGAGGCAAAATTATAGTTTCATCCCATTAATGAATGCCCCTATTTATACATGATGATACCTTACTGGCCTTAGCATCTGCCAATTGACATTCCACATTGTTGCCTAGTTTGTTGTCTATACAATTCTCAAATCCATTTTGTGTGTTGATATCCCTATTTCACTGGTATTTGGAGTGTAAGTTGCTTGTGCATGCTTTACCCTGAAGTATTCTACATTGCATTTCAAAAAATCTAAATCCCTCTGCAACAAAGCAACACAGGCGTGCGCACGGGGTGTGCCGGGTGTGCCTAGGCACACCCTAATCCCCGCGGCACGCCTATGTATATTGAGACCGGCAGGGGAGATCTCAGGATCCCTCCCTACCGACCCACATGCAGGGAGAGAACCCGGGGAGCTCTAGCCAGCAGCTCCGCCGGGTTCCTCTCGCGAGATATGAGCGTTGCCATGGCAACGCTTAAATCTCGCGAGAGTGAACTCTAACCGCACAGGGCACTGGACCACCAGGGAAAGTAGCAGCAACAAGGATCCCCCCTCCCTACATAAGGTAAGAAGGGAGGGGGATTTCAAGTAATGTACCCCCACCTCCACCCCCCACAATCACCCACACACATACAGCACACACAGACATACACAGCACCAACACACATACACAGCACCAACACACATACAGCACCCACAGACATACACAGCACCAACACACATACAGCACCAACACACATACACAGCACCTACACACATACAGCACCCACACACATACACAGCACCTACACACATACACAGCACCCACACACATACACAGCACCCACACACATACACAGCACCCACACACATACAGCACCAACACACATACACAGCACCAACACACATACAGCACACACAGACATACACAGCCCCACACACATACAGCACCCTCACACATACAGCACCCACAGACATACACAGCACCCACACAAACACACACAGCACCCTTACACACAGCACCCTCACACACAGCACACAAACAGCACACTAACAGTACCCTCACAAACACAAACAGGACACTAACAAACACACACACAGCACACTACCAGTACCCTCACACACAAACAGCACCCTCACAAGCGCACACAAACAGCACCTTCACACACAGTACATTAACAGCACCCTCACAAGCGCGCACGCACAAACACCCTCACCCACATAGCACACTACCAGCACCGTCACACACACATCATAGTAACAGCACCCTCACACAGCACACACACACACACAACAGTGTGTGTATGTGTGTGTGTATATATATATATATATATATATATATATATATATATATGTGTATATATATACACACATATTTATACATACATACATATATATATGCGGCGTGTGCTTGTGCTTTAGGGTGCACACCCTAATGCAATAGGCTGCGCACGCCTATGCAAAGCAATATCCTGGTCACATTTTATTACTTTACAGAGTTTTGTGTCATCTGCAAACATTGAAACACGGCTTTTAATTCCTATTTCAAGATAATTTATAAATATGTTAAATAGAAGCAGTCCCAGAACAGAGCCCTGTGGGACACCATTTTCCACTTTTGTCCAGCTTGAAAATGTACAATTTATGACATCTCTCTGCACTTTACCTTCAAGCCAATGTTCTACCTAAGAACAAGAATTTTCATCTAGACCAATTTATTTCAATTTGAACGCTAACCTTTTGTAAGGAGCCGTATCAAATGTCATGGCAAAATCACATCCACTCCAATGCCCTGATCTATCTATACTTCTACTTACTTCTTTGTAGATTGCTATTAGGTTAGTTTGACATGACCTATGTTTCATAAAACCATGCTGATTATTGCTAATTACAATGTTCTTCCAAATGAATTCCTGAATAGTATCCTATTGGGATTTTTGTAACTACTTATACTCTTTAACGTTCATTTTTCCATCTTTTATCTTACTCTGGTATTTATTTCTGTCAGTTTCTAACTGCATTACTATTTGTCCCTAGGTTTTTCTGATTCTTTCTTTATCCTGTCACCTGGGGTCCCGGCAGGCATCTTGCATCCATGATTTTTCCCGGGCTTTTTAGGGGTCGTGTAGAGAGCGGTGGCCATTTTCACGGTGGCCATTTTCTTGGAGACCGTGATCCGCACACATATTGGATGACGCGGCCATCTTGCTTTACCCACGATATTAAAGCAAACTACTTTACAAGCCCGTGAGTCGAGTGGGCAATGTATTTATGCCAGCGGACACCTCTGGACCTGCTCGTCTGGCAGATGAACACCGCAAGACAACCATTTAGTTATTTTCACCATGGCTATTGTAGGTCCATTCTTCTGACAAGGTGTCACTGATATTTTATCCCAGTTAGGCATTATATTTATACTGCTTGCAAAACCTAATTGGTTTACAGTCTGTGGACTTTCAGAGTATAGGGGTGAACCCCTCATTCAACTCTGCCCATATTGGGGTGACCCCCACTTATATGCACTACCACACAAGACAGAGAGCTCGTCACAGGGGTGAGCCCCCTATGTATCCTATCAGACCAACCCACATGGGTTTTCTATATTGGTCTTTATGATTGCTGTCACTGGTACAGCCCTGATTGGCCCGCTTTGTCTGTGCCCTCATACGTCCTTACAGGGTATATACACCAAGAGGAATTTTAGCTGTGTTACAGTTGCCCCAAGCCAGCTGAGGGTTGGACTGCCAACGGATGCTCCTAGTGCTTTCCAAGGACCATCAGCACTGCACCAGACACCATAAGCACTGCAGACACCACGAACCTCCACAGCTTGGTTGGGTTCTCCTACCCACCCTGGACCTGTGACAAGGCTCAAGGCTCCAGTGGGTGATCCTCTATTCCTTCAGAAAGCGAAGCAGGAACAGCTCTTACAAGAGCTCAGTGAAGCTAAGGGAGTATGAAGAGCATAGCAATCCCTGTAGTGATTACAGCTGTAACCTCCAAACACGAGTCGAGGCTGCGAGTTTAGCGTCAAGTAGAACTGAAGGTTTAATGGTACAGCTGCTTCTTTTATACAGTATTTCCCCACAAGGTTACCGCCCATGTGGACCCTGTTGGGCACAAGACATGAAATGCACAAGTGTGATACAATTAACAAAGACAATAGACTAACTCAATTACCCACAGGCAGAAAACACACATATTTACCCAAAGTACAGAAACACCCCAAAACTCCAACATAGTCCCATACATTTTACATCCCTGGATAGCCCTGATCTGGGTGAACAGCATATCCACAAATCACCCAGATAAGAGCAGTGGTTCAAAAGTTTTATGGAAGTCTCTTTTGACCGACCGCAAGCATGGTTTTCATGCCCAAAACAGTTCCACAGATTTGGGCTGTGCGGCCAGTCTATTTTCAATGCTAAGTTCTGTTCGAATGCACGAACGGGAGCCGTTCGTGCAATTAGCCAGTGTTAAAGTGGCATTCGAATTGTCGAACACTGTTCTACTCCCGTCGAAGCGTTGAAAGGTAAATGTAACGGATCACCTGGCACCCCGACTGGGTACCTCCGTTGAAGGATGCTCCTAGCACTTCCTGAGGACTCCAAGCGCTGCAGCAGACACCAAAACCACCGAACCGTAGGAGCATATGAATGCTCTCAAGCATATGAATGTTGTATACAGACGAATAGCAAAAACCATGCAAATAGGTTTACAGTCCTAGCAGTCAAACTGAAACAGCATACAATAAATCCTCTCCCAATAATGAGACGACACTTCACTTTGAGGGTTAAGCAGGAACAGACTGTACTGGCACATACAGCCTCTTTTATTCCCAATCCACAAACTTAGTACTGCCCACAGGGTTTTACAGAACAACCAATCAATCTGAACAATACACACAGACACTCCCACACAAAATCCTCCCCTCTGCCTGTAATACAATTACCTTACACAATGGGTAATCTAATTATCACAGCCAGAGAAATACAGTTTCATAAAACACATCACAGGGACCCCAAAACATGCAATAACCCCATAAAAAGTATATCCTTGGAACCGGGGGATCTGGGTGAACCACATATCCAAAATTCACCCAGATCCGTTCAGTACTTTGGAAGATACAGTTTAATGCAGATTCTGCAGAACATATACAGGCTAAATGAAAAACAATCACCGTATAATGTCCCCCCCCGCTGTATAGTCCAAAACCACTGCACGATGTCTCTGTGCACCAAATACTGGCGAGATGGCACCGTGTTGAAAAGTTCAAACAGTGTCTGTGAGTTAAAATGGCCGCCATCCATTGTTCTCACCATGTGCTCCATCCATTGTTCTCACAATGTGCCTCTGATACAGGAAACGGTGGCCACCCAGTAACTCCACAGTATGTCCCCAGATGGTTCTTAAAGGGCCAGCAGCAGCACAACACAAATCCCTTATGCCCAAATCATGTCTTTAAAGGGCAATACATCCCAGGGGCCATAGTCACATGGCAGGAGGCTGGCAATCAGTCTTCTCCAATGCCCAGTGGCGAGGTCGGTTTCGCCACAGTAAAGTTCAGTGGTGTTCATGCCATCGTGTATCTGATTTGAGTTCCATGAACACGATGACCAACCACTGCTGAACGAGTTCGACTAGACAAGATGGCAGCTGCCACGTGTTCGACTATATGAATGGCGACCACCCAGCCATTCGTCAATTAGCTGCGGTTAACCACAGCTTCTGGGGGGTAAAGAAGCAACACACTCCACTTGCAGGTGGTCCGGTTGTGCGACAGTTTGTTCGGTTAACCCCATTTACCGAACCACATAAGAAAAAGGCACGAACAAGCATTTTCACAGTCTTGGGACAACGTTTTAGACATGGCCTATAGTCCTGGGGCAAGAGGCTGGTAATCAAGCCCCTCCAAAAGCCAGTGGCGAAGTGTAGTTCGTCACACCCAGTTATAGACGTGCATGAATATGCTTGCTATCGCTATGGATACAACAAACCAGGAACAAAACCTGCAAGCTCTCATTAATGAGGCAGTCAATGTCTCAGTCGAGAAAACCCTGGCTCGGGTGTTGCACTCGAAGCCCAAAGAGAAACTCCAGCCCAAACCTAAGCAGAGGATTCAGACTCCTCTAGGGTTGAGCAAGCCAGACCTCACAAACGGTACTGAAAAGGGGATGGACCTGAACCCATCAACCGTAAACGGAAAGCGCCAGCCAAGTGCCCCAGGTGTACAGACGCAAAGGAGAAACTCACTGTTTATCCTACCTTATCGGTCATGGACGAATGGAAAGCATTCAGCCTCCGATGAAGAGCCCGACTGGCCAGATGCTGCCTTTGGAGAGGTGCCTTTGATTAGAGAGGGCATGACTGAGCCTGCATTTGAGAATCCGACTTCCCTGCCAATACTCTCAGGGGAGGCAGAAGTCTTCACGGACGCGTTAGGACAACCGCTGTTTAACCCTCGCCAAATTCACCATCCTCAGTCCTCGGAATGGTCCCTTCTGGATCAGAGGGCCTTTAGATCGTGAGGTCTGCAAATACTTGAAGACTGAATGCCCCAGACCTGCCCTGCTGGACAAGATCGTGATGACCTCAGAGTTCGAAGCAATGCTTTATACATATCTGGCCAGGACTGGCCATGACCCTCATAAGGAAATTGAACGCACCTTACGGCTAACCCAACACAAGCTGCTGGACATGCTCTGACCCCTGCAAAAATCCTATTATTGGCCGATGAGGCCCTCTCTCAGGAGGGACCTTTAGACCCATGCGTAATCAGGGAATGGGCGTTGCATTTCATATGCCTCCTGGGCAATGCTAATGTACCCTATGTATGGAACGAAGGAAAGCAGTGCTGCTGCGCATGGATGCAAAACTCTCCCACCTGGGGTCCAAGGAATTAGGCCCATGTGCAAAGGGTCTTTTGTTTGGAGAACCTTAGATAAAGGAACTCCACAAGCACGTCAACTTATACAGCACTTTGAATAAGGTGCAATCATCTATGAGGAGAGTTTTCCACCAACACCCCACCAGTGGCGGATCCAGAGCCTGATCTCGGGAGGGGCACTTGTAGATTATTTAAAGAAATAATCCAGACACAATAACAACTACAGCTCAGTGTAGTGGTTATGGTGTCAATAGTGCCGGGACCCCCTCCCAGAGTAAGTAGTCAAACCGTTTAAGAACAGTTTGACAACTTACCTGAGGTCTGCTGGGAAATGGGGCAGTAGTAGGGCATAGGAGCAGTGGTGTGTGTGAGTGGTGCAGTGTGTGTGTGTGTGAGGGGGACAGTGTGTGCGCAGTGTGTGTGTGAGGGCGGCAGTGTATGTGTGGGACAGTATGTGTGTGTAACAGTTGCAGTGTGTGTGTGAGTATTGCAGTGTATGGGGGCAGTGTGTGTGTATCGGGTAGTGTATGTGTGTAGAGTGTGTGTATGGGGGGCAGTGTGTGTATATGAGGCAGTGTATGTGTGTAGAGTGTGTGTATGGGGGCAGGGCAGCATGTGTGTATGGGGGACAGTGTATCGGGTAGTGTATGTGTGTAGAGTGTGTGTATGGGGGGCAGTGTGGGTGTATGGGGGACAGTATAGGGGCAATGTGTGTGTATGGGGGCAGTGTGTGTAAGCAATGGGTGTATGGGGGGACAAAACATAGGGGCAATGTGTGTGTGTATGGGGACAGGCTGGGGCAAATGTGTGGGTGTATGGGGCAAATGTGTGTGTATGGGGGCAGCATGGGGTGTCAGTATTGGGGGACAGACATGTGTATGGGCAAATGTGTGTATTGGGGGGTTGTGCATAGCAATAAAAGTGGGGGCAAATGTGTGTATGGGGGGGCAGTATGTGTGTATGGGGGCAATGTGTGTGGCTGGGGCAGTGCAGTGTATGGGGGGGCAAATGTGTGTGTATAGGGGCAGCATGGGTGCATGGGGGGCAATGCGTGTAGGGGGCAGTATGGGTGGCAGTGGGTGTGCTGGGGCAATGTGTGCGTATAGGGGCAGTATGGGTGTATGGATGGGCAGTGGGTATGGGGGGGCAACGTGTCCATGGGGGGCAATGTGTGCATAGGGGCAGCATGGGGTGGCAGTGTGGGTGTATGGGGGGCAAATGTGTGTATAGGGGGCGTGCATGGGGCAATGTGTGTGTATGGGGCAGTATGGGTGTGTATGGGGGCGGTATGGGGGGGCAATGTGTGTATGGGGGGGCAGTGTGTGTATGGGGGGGCAGTATATGTGTATGGAGGGGCAGTATGGGGCGCAATGTGTGTATAGGGGGGCAGTATGGGTGTATGGGGGGGCAGTGTGTGTATGGGGGGGCAGTATGGGTGTATGGGAGGGCAGTATGGGGATCAGTGTGTGTGTGTGTGTGATAAGGGTAGGGGGGCTTTTTTAAAAATATATATTTTTTTTTTATTTAGTTTAATAAAAATAATCATTATGTCCCCCCTCCCTTCTTACCTTTACTGGGGAGGAGGGGGGACATTTCCCTGGTGGTCGGGTGGGCGATTCATTGGTGGTCCGGTGGGGATTCATTGGTGGTCCCAGTGGTGATGAGAGTGAACTCTAGCCCGCGCTCCCAGGCTTGAGTTCACTCTCGCGAGATTTGGAGCGTTGCCGTGGTAACCGCGGCAACGCTCCAAATCTCACGAGAGGAGGACCCGGAGTAGCTGCAGACTGAGCTCCGGGTCCTCCTTCTCCCTCCGCCGCCGGCTGTCAGCACAGTGCCTGCGGACCGGGGAGGGAGATCTCTGATCTTCCTCCCCGGTCCGCAGGCACATTGCACGGCTGGCAGGGGAGGGAGACCGGCGGATTTCTCGGGGGGGACAATTGCCCCGTTGCCCCCCCCCTGGATCCGCCACTGCACCCCACGCGGGTTTTTGGCAGGGCAAGCACCCCTTGTACAAGGGGTGCTTCTGGCCCTCAGGTCAACGACGATCCCACACTACACCATTCTTCCCGAATTACCAAACAAGGGGCTTCTACAACCAAAGGATCAAGGCAGAGGAAGCAGAACCCAGGGACGCAACAGATTATCCACAGGTGAGATATTCTCCTCATTACCCTGCAACTTTATGCCATGCGAGCAGGTTATTGCATTGCATTTAGACAAGTGGAAGACTTGAATATTTGGCTTCTCGATACAGTTCAGGGCTACCCCATATAGTTTTATTCCCCTCCTGTCCAGACAGGTCCCCTATTGTAGTCAATAAGCAGGATGTACTTATTCTGTCAGTGATACTCCCTACACACTGTAACAGAGTAGTAGGATTTACCAAGTTGTTCTGTTACTGTGAGGATTCTGAGGTAACGAGCAGAAATACAATGTATTATGTAAACTATGCTCACACGGCATTATGTATTCCAGAATACAGGACAATACTCCCCTGAATTACTTCTTATCATTGCAGAAAATGTTATGATACAATTCCAGTCAGAACTCCATTTATTTTTTCAGTCCCTATTCAAACCAACACGCTTGCGTCTGCCTAAATTCATGGGGAATAATTCCTCAATCCGGTACGGCACAAAGGGACTTGTTAAGACAGACAAGACTATGGCACTCGCTCAGTTAAAAACCATCATACCTCAACGTGACTGGGCCCACACTCCCAACAACCTTAGTCAGCCTTGATAACAGCAATTCACAATGGCATGATGGGTCTCATATTTTCACACTATAATTCAATTTTGTAACTACAATCCAGTTATGTAGTTTACTTCAATAATATTCATTCCCTATATAACTTATAATAGGCCATTAATTACTCTCGCCAAATTACTCTGGCTAATTTCCTTAAGTGGTATCTCCTTAGTCCCCAATTTTTCATGTAGTATGATCATGCTGCGGGATCATATCTATTTAACCTCACCCTGGGACATGCACAAACATACAGAATTCTGAACACTTACAATTCCAGTCGTCATAGAGAATTGAACACATTTATGTCTTACAATTTACCAACCATTAAGTCTACGCCAGTAGGGGGAGTACAGACTATATATCCATGTTACATCAAGTTAGTTGTCATTGAAAGAAGTATTCAGTGCTACTTATACCATGTGGTGAGATTCACCAGCTCAAATATTGTATCTTCCAGCTCAAACCGTTCAGGTGAACTCTTTCTTTAATTATGGGTGCAATACAAGCAGTAGTTCTGATCATCCTTCTGTCACAGTAATATTATGTTTTAAACGTCAGGCGATGTCAAACTCACATTAGGCAAGTTCTAAGTCGACTACCAATCAAACACGTCTACGTAATCAATACAAATGTGAGTCAGGGCAAGCCATTAACATGTCTACTAAATACTCACTGCACCTACACTATGACCGCCGCATACTAATTCAAACCTTTGTCAATTGCTAAGGACTTACCGCTGCACTTCGGAACCTCCATGAGAATACAGTCATACGTAACGCAATTTTAGTGACATAGTTATAACAAGTTACTTTACGTGTCAAGCTATCCATCGGAATATTGACTGTCATGCTGTTTTGTTTTAGAAGTGTTACACCTGTAGGCATCTTAGGACGAGTTATATTTGCGATCCAAAGCCTAACATTTATAACATTTTATCATACCAACTCATACAATCTGTAAGTCGAACCAAAATCGGACACTCCTCTTCACTTTCAGCTTGTAAAGTGCACCTTTTCCCTTCTGATAACTATTTCTCTTCTAAATTTTTTTGGGCCATAGCACAATCGGTAGTGTCATCAGGTACCTTTTCTCTCCAATTCTATCCAGGTTGTTCACGCACACATGATTACCTTTACAACCATTCTACGAGGCCAACTTCCCACCTCTACACAGAGGTTTGTCCAACGGCCCAACTCCTAGTTAGTGCCTCGCATACTCTTCTACAGGGTTACAGTCAGGGCCTCACATGTCATGGCCACTCGTATTGACTCTTTTACAGCCACTGAGAGGCCAACAACTCGCTACAACTCATTGTAGCCACTAGCCCACACGGCTCAAATCATAGGTAGAGCCTCTCACCGCCACTTGGCAACTAGCAGGGCCTCACCAGTCACTTCGTAGTTAATATTTTCACTATCGACACTAGTAAGCAACACAGCTCTACACAAGGCATGTTATTCAATTCACTTCAAACATTGCATAAGTCACTCATCATAAATTCCCTTAAAAGAGCTCTAGATACTCCAACCCTGTCATCCCAGATCCCCTCGACACCTCCAAGGCATTGGACCTTGCTTAAGTTTGACGATTGAGCTTAAAAATGCGGAGGCACTATCTTCCTGGCCACGGCTGAAAGTCCACATATGCCCCGAACAAGCTGTTCATGCCCTAGTACGGCACACGCGAGTAGTCCAGTTAACTCAC